ACCTGGACTTGCAGCTAAAAAACTACTGAACGAAATATGGTTTCTGCAGCAGGCCGACTAGTAATAACGACTCACCCCTGAGCCATGCAAACACAAGCACACGAAAATCACTGCTTCTGCTGGGATGTGTTCCCGACTTGGATTTCAAATTTCTAACCTGACTGGACGACTCCTCCTAAGTACTTTGAGATGACCGCATGAGGAAGGAGGTTGCTGACTGAGAACTTTGCTTACATGAAGCCTTGACTCCGGGCCAGAGTCCATCAACACTGCACTGGAAATCACGACTTCTCTTACGTCTTTGCTCTTGCACCATGGTCACAGAGTCAATCTGCTTTTGATGAAATCCGGCATCCAGGTCAAGGGTGTCACTGATATCTTCGTAGAGGCTTAATGAATCAATCGTTCAAGCAAACCAAGCACAAACAAAGGATTTCCTTCCTGGCCTGCTCGTGTCCACTCCCCAACGAGGCCATTCACCTGGTGCAAGAAGACACTGACACATCCAACGCCAAGGGTGTCAGTCCCCAAACCTTCCCCGACCCTCAGGCTTGCACGGACTTAATCAACGATGATCCCTGCATTCCCTGGCGACTGCTTTCAGCCGTCGCTCGTCCTTACGGACGACGTCCAGTCGGACGACTGCATACACACTTCGACTCATGCCGGGGCTGCATCCTTGCGGACGACGTCCTGTCGGACGACGTCCTGTCGGACGAACACTCAAACGACGTTGACTGAACCCGCCTGCGGCCGACCGAAGATCCTCACCTGGCAGGCAGACATGGGGCCCAGGTCTAGCAATTTTTTGAAAAGGTCGTCTTATGCTCACAATGCTTTGTCTCCCTGACGGTCAACTAACTCAGCCCGAGACGCAAGATGTCCATGTGCTTACTTCTTATTTGTCCATTCTTAGTCCTTCTGACCTCGACTATACAGACAACCACTCAATTGCAGTGACTGACGAGTCAACCCGAAGCTGGCACACATGTCCGCCCACTCTGTTTTTTCACGACTCGAGGATTTGAATGTTAACGACTCGACCACATGGTCTCGACTGCTGGCTGCCGCTGAGCTTCTGCCATTCTGGATGGACCAAGCCAAGAGCTAAATGAAAAGCGCCAGCCGGATCGTCGAGTGCACGTACCAAAACTACAACAGAAACAGTTCCGCCCACTCTGTTTTTTTCACGGCTCGAGGTTTTGAATGTTAACGACCACATGGTCTCGACTGCTGGCTGCCGCTGGGCTTCTGCCATTCTGGATGGACCAAGCCAAGAGCTAAATGAAAAGCGCCAGCCGGATCGTCGAGTGCACATACCAAAACTACAACAGAAAGAGTTCCGTCACTCTGTTTTTTTCACGGCTCGAGGTTTTGAATGTTAACGACCACATGGTCTCGACTGCTGGCTGCCGCTGGGCTTCTGCCATTCTGGATGGACTGACCAAGCCAAAAGCAGCTAAATTAAAAGCGCCCAGCCGGATCGTCGACTGCACCTACCAAAACTCAGCCGACTGCACCTACCAAAACTACAACAGAAAGAGTTCTGCTGCTCAGCCTCGCTGGCTTCGATCTCACGCTCGTGGCATTTCTTTGCGAACCTTGGGCATGTCGACTTGGTCGCCTTCGTCCTCCTGGAAGAGACTCAGCACGTTGACCCAGATGCGGCCTCCGAACATTTCGGTGAAGCACAGATATATTGTAAGAAGTGGATCGCCACACGACCACCCACACACACTGAAAGCTCTCATTAGTGACTTGTAGATTACAACTCATCTCCACGAAGTATAGATATATATGTATATATACACATAAACATATAATATAATATACTATACTATTATAGATATATATATATACTTGAAGTTTAAGTAGAACGCCCTAACCGCTTTGGTATCTCACATAAGATATCTCTAGACACCCTCATCATGTCTGCTGCAGCCAATGCAGGAAGCCGTGCCAACCACGTGGAACCATTTTCGCGGGGGGAGTCATCTTAAGTCTCCACAGATATATTCACTATGGTTGTACGAATGAATACTTCTACACTACAATGGTGACGCCTCGTGTTATCATTTTCTACCACGTGCACGGCATTCATCAGGAATCCTCTTGCTCTAAGGCTCTCCCAAAACACGACAAGTGGCCTTCCCCGACTTGGCAGTTTTCCAAGTCCCCAGGATTCTTCAAGCCCAGGTTGAAGACCTGCATCTCTGCAGGAACCTTCTTCTTCTTCCCGGAGATGTGGGTGATCCTCAGTCACAGCCACGTGCTTTGGAATAACACCAACAAAGTGACGTGTGCCACATGGGAAAAATGGCCAAGGCACCAATACGACTCGTCGACTTCGGAGAGCGCCCACCAGCCGTACGACTGCCAAAACTCCATCGGGAGGGTCGACTGGCTCGCAGAGGGAACGCCCTTCTCGACGATGATCGACTGCCACGGCGGGCCGATCATCACCTCTGCAAGGATGCTGGCCTTGCCTCGTCCAGGGAGTGCACTTTCCGGAGCTATGCCACTCAGGAGTTTGAACAGGCAGTTCAGCTCCTTCTTGCTGCAGCGCACACCAGACAACCACTGGGCCCACTCTGGACCGTACAGCGAGCCCAAAAGGTCTTTGACATATCCCGACTCGAGCTTGCTGTATTTGTTTGTCGACCTGAGTAAATGGATGGAAATGCGCGCTCAGTCTCATGATATCGAAAAAAAAGCCTTGCTTGCTGCTTGCTAGTCAACCGTCTGACACTTATGCAAGTTTTGTGGATCTCAACCATGACACCCGAACTTGCCTTCCCTTCAACAGTCTTCTATTAGACTCACACTCTTTCTTGCCCAGTGGCTGACTGACCATGTCTGGGTCGTCCTCTGTCGCCGGATTCTCAAGCATCTGGACGACTTCCAGCGCCTTCGGGATGTACTCCGGATGGGCCTCGATGCGCTCCTGGATCTTCGAGAGGGTATTCTGCTCGCTGAAGTCGGTGATCTGGTCCCTCATCTTGTCGACATCGGTCTTGGGCGCTTTCCTACCCTTGGGCGGCATTGGGACGACTAGGATGCCCGAGAGATGAGGCGAGCGACTTTTGGGACTAGGATGCCCCAGAGATCAGGCGAGCGACTTCGCCCAACCAAGCTTGAGCGACTGATGCCAACGCGGCCGACAGTTTCTGTAACATGTTGAATCTGTTGCTGGATTGATTCCTCGGGGTTCTGAGTTGTTGTTCCTCTGTGGCTTGTGGGCTTCTTCTACTGAGGGGCTAGTCCCATGATGCCGGAAGGACAACAGCTTTGCCGACCTACCCAAGTGAGTCCGACACTGCCTGATTGAAATCGCAACTGCATACGGCACTGCATCTCAACTCTCAGGTCTGTGCATGCAGACAGAACAAACATGCTGGCTGCGCCTCTGGAATCAAAGAACCATGCCACCTGAGGGAGTGTAGCTGCTTTGGAAACAATGCTTGGGCAGGGAACCGTGGAACATGGAGGTGTTTCACCAACACATGACGATGCAAGAAGGATTGACATGGTAACTTGTTTGTTCAACACTTTTCAATTAAACGATACTCAAATCATGCTGTTGGGACACTGGTTCTGCGTGCCTGTGCCTGGTTCTGCGGGGGAGCCTGGTTCTGCGAACGGACTCGGGTGCCGGGCAGCCATTCAGAACTAGTTCTGCGTGGCTTGGCATGGATAAGGGAGTGCCAGGCCCTGGTGTGCGGTAAAGCAAAACATAAGGCCCCACTGGGGTTTGGCGGCAGCGGCTGCCTATGATTGGTTCTGCGGACTAGTTCTGCGAACCAGTTCTGCGGGGAAGTTCTGCGAACGTGTGCATGGAGGAACCTCCCTATGATAGGTTCTGCGGACTAGTTCTGCGAAGCAGTGCCAGGCAGCTCCACTTACAATCACCTTGACACAACACCGTAGCAAGCAAGACTACACGAAAACATCTCAGTGCATCACCCTTTTCTTTCATCCATAACATTGCGACTTCTCAAACCCTCCGAAGGCCAACTCGAATCCAAGGCCGACACCTGCTAAGTCTTGCACAGCCACACTTCTCTCGCAAAGCTGAGTGGCCGGCCGACTCTCACCGTGCTGGACACCGAGAAGTCCTGACCTCAGGGCACTGATTTTTGATTGCTATTCATACTACTACATGCACACGATACTAATCTCGCTCGGTCTGGCTGCACAGGCTGCACTGCACATGCATATGCACTGCAAAACCCTTCAGCAAAGGCTTTTTTGCTGCTGGCTTGCACCGGTTAGTCGAGAAGCTTGAAGCCCACATGACAAGTGTGCAAAAAGCATACGTATGGCAGACGGAAAAACTCCTCTTCAAGGTTCCATAAGGACTCTTCCTTGTTATTATTATTATTGTTCCGACTCCGGACAAGCACACTCGACATGTCTAATGGCCGCGACTGCGACTGGAAAGCATTATCATCGTTCTTCATGCCTTCCCGGCGCTTGCAGCGTCAGGTTCCTCGCGGCATGCCCAGTCCCCATGTACAAAAAGTACAATCCCCAACCATGTTTCATGGTATAGTATTTGCCCCGTGCGGTTGTCAGAGAACCACTGTACTCCTGCGACTCAGCCGCCTTAAGACCCAAAAGCTCCTCCCCACCCCTCAGGCACAGGAGGCGCCGGAGCCGAGCTGTCGACTGCAGCACTCGCGACTGAGGAGCCGGGGCTTATCGCTGGCACGGAAGATGCCGCGGATGTCGGTGTCATGGAGCCGAAGCGACTGCTCGGGGTGCTGCTGCCACTGACGCTCCCGTTCTCGCTCCTGGGAATCTCCTTGCGCCAAAACAAGCCAAAGGAACTGTCGAAGAGCTCGGAGCAGGCCATCCACAGTCGTCCTCCGCAGGCTGATCGGCTTCAATGGTTACTACTCTAGTTTCACGTCTGATAGTGAAGAACAAGGGCTCTGCTCTGCTCTGCAGGCTTGTCAGTCTAGGTCTATATGCTGATTCTTCTCTGCCTCGCTCTGTGCCTGTCTTATATTATTATAATTAATAAGAATATATATGTATATATATATATATATATACTTCTATTATATATGTGTAGATATATATATATATATATATCTGAGTCTGTGTGTCTGTCATACGACTTTCGGAATTTCCGTGTCACATTGCTCCCCTCTCTTTCTCCGTCTCACTGACACTCTCTGTCTCTCTCTCTCTCTCTCTCTCTCTCCCTCCTCTTCCCTGTGTCTCTTTCTCAGTCTGGTCCGGTGTGAATTTATGAGCGACTCTGGCTCTGTTCTAGTTGCGGTCTGTTTTCTCTCTTGGGTTTGCTCTTGGGTTTGAACGCCATCTTCCTTAAATTAGGTCTGTCTCTACTGGCTTATCATCCATCTTCCATGTCCCGTCAATGAAGGAATCAAGTCCCCGGTCCCCGGTTCCCCCTGAGCTCAGTTCCTGATCCAAGCTGAGCCTTCGAGAAATCCGTGGGATTTTTGATGACCAGCGAGTTCGACTGTGCCATGGGCTCCAGCTCCGTTGGCAACTGCCTCCCTTGGCCGCTGATGTGCACCACCCTTGGATTTGCTCAAGTCTTGTACACTCAGTTGTGCGTCACTACTGAAAGTAAGTAATGACGAACAGGCTTGCTTGCACGTCAACTGAAGACTCACATGTCTTAACTTATTCTTGGATGCTGCTACTAACCAACAAAAAATCATGGCCGAGCCACATCCACGACTGGCCCTCCTGCTCCAACCGGAACCACGGGTTGAGCTCGAAGAAACGACTGGACGAAAAGGGCTCCGGGAATTCCAGTCGCGGCACCCAAGACGGCCGCTTGTCAACCATCTCCTGGACCACTGCTGTCCTGCTGCGACTTGGCAGCGCCGAGCCCCCGGAGATGCCGGAGACCATGTGGAAGACGTCCAAGAGCTCGGCTTTCGTCGACTTCCAGCGGCGGAGACTTTGAGCCTGTCCTTCCGTCAAACTTGATGAGCTAAGCATCAGTTCCTTCAGCACCTTGCCATCCACCAGCTTATACTTGTTGCAAGACCTGATATTGGATCATTGTTCAATTCACAGTGTGATGATGTCTTACAACTTCATTCTACCCTGACGCAGTCTCTAATACGACAAAATTATGCCGATCAGGATTAGATTAGATCACTCCGTGTTTTAACAGCTACTGCTTAAGATAGTTTCAACTCTCGATGGTGTATTCGTCGACTGTGCACCGCTTAGCCATGGACCTACTGCCGATGTCCGGCTCCTTCATCATCCGTTATTTTATTTGCCCACGACATGAGCGAATCAAATTAAAACTTTAAATACAAGCACCATCCATGGTAGTGAAATAACTACTGTTGTCAAACAAAAACTCACCACATCTGAGAAAATACTTGACATTGCACGGGTCACGCTTGAGACCCTTCTAATATACTACTACTATTTCTGGGGAAACACTACTCGGCGAGATCAACACTACTCAATGCATGCTGCGGGACGTCGGGCCGATCAAGTCTTCGCGACCATTGTTCGAAACCGGCTGCATCAACATGCCGTTGTCCATGATCTCCAACAGGCGGGAAGCCAGTGCTGGCTTGCCTTCAAGCAAACCCATGAGCTTCGACTTCATGCTGTCCTCGGTCATTTTCGTCAGCTGCGACTGCATCTTCTCCTTGTCGAGAGGAGCCTTCTTCACGCTGTGCCTGCGAGCCGAAGCCATTGTGGAGTGGAAGTCGGTAGGAATACTGGAACAAAATGCCCCAGAGCTGAGTCCTACTTTTTTGAGCACTCGCGACTCGGGGTGTAGTAACAAAGTGCTCGGGACTGTGGAACACAAATCGCCAGTAACACTAATATTATGCATCATGCAGGAGTCCTGGCGCCGAAAGACTGGCAGAGTGAGGCTTCTGTCTTTTTTGCAACAAGCCGTCATAATAGCATTCCCCGTGATGCCTCTGTGCATCCAAAATCAAAAGGGTCGACTGTGTGCATCGGGCGGGGAGGCGACTGCCTGCAGCCCCACAGACGACGACTTAAGGAGCTCACCTACTCACAGTCAGTGACGACTGCACCTAAGTCATTGCCAGCACAATCTCTTGGTTGATGGCAGCCATGTTCTTGATGCTGGTGCAGTGCTCCTTACAGACCTGCGACAAGAAGGTGACAGCCTTCTCCAGGCGCAAGACCCTCTCCTCCAGGTATCGGATTCTCTCTGCCTCGGTGGGCGGATCGTCTGTGACCGTGGACGCATCGTCCCTCTCGTCGTTTGCTGAAGAAGCCGAAGGCATCGGATCCACGGCGGCGTTCCCCTCGACGTCGACTGGCTCATCACCCTCCGCCCTGCCACTCCGGCGACGCTTTGCATTTGAGGGCGGCTCCGCTGCATCCGACTGTCGCCTCGCGGACGAGCGGACGGTCTGCAGCTCTGCCATCAGGTCGACTTGTAAGGCGGCGAACGACTACTGGAGCAAAATTGCCCACAGACGATTTTTGAGCACTCGCGACTGTAGGCATCATGCGGAAATGTACTCTCTGCTGTCTTCCATGAGCACTCAGTGATTTCCCACAGCATCTCGACAAGCCCTGTGTGATGTACCCAAACATTAGTCAAACAGCTGAAGGATAAACTGCAGTACTATTACTTATTACTACTTACGTACTTACTTACTAACTTAATTACTTACTTATAATACTACTAGTACTACTACTACTACTACTAGTACTAGTACTAGTACTACTACTACTACTACTACTACTACTACTACTACTACTACTACTACTACTAGTACTAGTACTACTACTACTACTGCTACTACTACTACTACTGCTACTACTACTAGTACTACTAGGACTACTACGACTACTACTACTACTACTACTACTACTGCTACTAGTACTACTCCTACTACTACTACTACTTCCACTAATACTACTACCCGTACTGGTACTACTACTACTACTACTACTACTACTACTACTACTATACCTACCAATACTACTACTAGTACTTATATTACCACCACACTACTAATATGACTACTACACTACTACTAGTACTACTACTACTGCTACTAGTACTGCTACTACTACTACTACTACTGCTGCTACTACTACTACTATTACTACTACTACTACTACTTCTACTACTACTACCACTGCTGCTGCTGCTCCTACTGCTACTGTTGCTACTACTACTACGACTACCTATTGCTACTACTACTACTACTACTACTACTACTACTACTACTACTACTACTACTACTACTACTACTACTACTACTACTACTAGTACGACTCCGAGTGAGTGCGACTGCCATCTTCGACTGCAATCCAGGGTTCCGGCTGGCGACTGGCATCGGTCCCTCCCTGGAGCTTGTGAAGTTGAAGTTCACCTCACTGAAAGACTCAATTATTAAAAGCCGCAACCTGCATGAACACACACTACTATCTACCAGAACGATTCTTGCTGCTTTTCTTAACGACCTGAAAAGTCTGAAGCCAGGCTCCTGGCAGCAAGTCCCTGTGTTGTCGTTCGGACGCTGTCCTGGATGAAGCCGACCTGACAGAAACAAGCAGTGAGTGAGTCATGATCTAAAGCTGCATGGCTGCAAAATGCTGCAATTGCAAACCATTGATACACGAGCCGTTTTGCTTCGACTGCAACGCAGTCGGTCTGAGCAAGGCGACTCCACGGAGTCGGCTTCCTCCGGTCCGGTGCTTGAGACTCCCGTTGTTGCAAGCGACTCCCCAGGCAGTATTCGCACAGAGAAGGATTAATTTACTTTTCTCTGCTACTACTCAGTGTAATTCTCCCACTCAGTCCGAACACTGACTACTAATCAAAAAAAACGACTCACTCAGTCGCCCTCGCCCTTTCACTTTCGGAGAACTTGATATCTAACAACTTCTCCTTCGCGATGTACCGCAAATCTGCACTCAACAAGGATGGGTCCGACTCCAGACGCTGGACCTTGAATTGGCAATGAACGACGGACGGGACTCGCTATGATCGGTGTTAATCTTCACCAAGGCACGACTTCGTTGCTCAGGATGACCAGCTTGTTTTCATCCTCGTTGGACCAGGACCATTTGGTCTTGCCGGTCACTCTGCAGCGCACGTTGACTCGCTTCGGTGTTTTCCAGTGAATGTCTGCCCGGAAGTTAACCGACTGCGTCATCTTCCTTTGGCTTCAAGTGTTTTCAGAGCTACACAGACAACAATGGACAAGGCTCAGTCATGTGCGGCCCGGAATCATCCTCAACTCATCGTGCGAACGGTCGACTCGTCGCCTCTTCTTTGGACTTGGCCTCACGCAGACAAGTAGTAGTAGTAGTAGTAGTAGCAGCAGTAGTACTAGTATTAGTAGTAGTAGCAGTAGCAGTAGTAGTAGTAGTAGTAGGAGTAGTACTAGTCCTAGTAGTAGTAGTAGTAGTAGTAGTAGTAGTAGTAGTAGTAGTGGTGGTGGTTCGCTCCTCGGTCCAATTCGAGACAAGCCTCGTTTGAAGGACCTCGGCCTCCTCCCGGACCATCTGAAACCCATGCTCCTCGTCGGCCGCCTGCGACCTGATCACCTCATGGCCCCTTTCCTCGTCCCGTAGCGGGAGCGGGGTGTCGACGGAAGCTGTGTCCTGCAAGTGACGATGTTTCATCATGATTCACTTTAAGCCACTAAGCACGCCGACTCTTACAAGGACATTCGGAGCACACTTGCTGTGTTGTTCCGCCTCAGTCGTGTCGGCTTGTGCAGCGGCATCCACACAACCCGGCAGTCTCTTGAAGGAAGAGCACTGCTGTAGCAGCACCTCGGGTGCATGTGATTTGGAACACCTGCTTCCAATGCAATGCAAACCATTGAAACTGAACTGCTTGAGCTTGTCGGGCGGCCGTCAGCCGCTGGACTGCCGGGTGTCTCTGCTCCGAGCTTCGCTCCGCCAGCCCTGGAAGTAACGGGATTCTTATTCTTCGGCAAAGGCGGATGGAGAGCAAGGCTGGCTACAAATTGCAGTGAGGCCACGCTTGTGGTATGTCAGCAGACGGCTGATCGACTTCGCCTCCTTGCGAACGACTCCGTCGGCTATCATTACCTTAGCCCAGGCACGGCTGAAAGTGCTCCTACAAGGAAGCGGGTTATTCCAATTCTTTGTCGCAATGAAGGTGTAAGCGAGAGGCACATGCTTGCTTGCAGATCCGGTCAAGCACGTATTCGACTGCATCCGTTCTCCGAACTCTCACAATGCCCCGTGTTCGACTGGTGTTCTCGGCCGGGAGGTCGATGAACTTGCCAAGGAGCACATGATTACATGCCAGCCCGGATTCAGAGCTGGTAGTCGGCTCGTAGAGGAACGACTTCGTGTCCTTGATCTTCGTCATTATCCCGTCGTCGCCAAGGATGTCCTTAGGCCCGGAAAGACGTCACAGACGGGACACAAATGACTTCATTGCGGATGTGGAAGCACAAAGTCATGTCCTCCCGCCGACCTTGATCCACTTCTTCTGCTTGGCCTTCATGTTGATTTGCGACATCGGACCGCTGAGGAGGGATCTGCCAGCCGACTCAAACAGAGGTCGACTCAGCCGTGCGACTTAAACTCCCTCTGCCAAGTCTTCCACTCAGACCAAACAAAACTCCCATTGGGTGTGACTCAAGACTACTACGAAAGATTAATTTTGCGAAATATTTCTGATTGATTGGTGATGTTGCTCTGGACTGTTGTTCGTGACGGCATGGAATGTCTACTCTCAACATCGGTCTCGACTCTGGATTAAACCACCTTGCCTGAGCCAACCAACTGCATCACATGGAACCCAGATGAGGCTTGCAGCTAGCAGCTCAAACTGCAGGACTGATGTATATGTACTAGCAGAAAAAACCGACTGCGGCTTCGCACCGAAGATTGTGACACTGCTTGGGCCGTGGCTCCTCGGCACGAAGTGAAGACGAAGAAGGAACCTGAGGAAGAGCACATGTCGCACACACGTCCATTCATTCTTCGACTTGCTGCTAGGCTAGGACTCGCGATTGGATTGGATGCCCCTATGCTCTGCTGTCCTATGAATATGTATCCGCACACGTCACGGGGCTAATGCCAAGCAAACTTCGGCAGAGTTCGGGCTCCAGGCAGAGAGGAGGAAGGGCCCAGACCTGGCGGCCGGCAAACAGCTTAACGGTTAAACTGCAGCAGAAAGACTGAATGGCTGATGCTGACCACTGCTGGAAGAGTCACTTCAACGCAGAATCTGCATGAACAAAGCAAGTGCCTACTCAGAACTTGCATGCAATGACATGGCAACAGCTGCCCTGGCCACTCAAACGACTCTGTATATCAGGTTCTAGGCAATCCAGGGCCCCAGCAGAAACACGGTCGACTCGCGACGGCGCCTGCCACAGCAGGTTCAATCGCACTCATGCTCTCAAGACGCATAATGGTGGGCAGCCTTGCTATGCAATCTCTCAGTGGACTGGATGGAAGTGTCCCGCTTTTCTCGACTGATTCCGGTCAAGGCAGGCAACAACAGTGCGACTGGGCTCGGTCAAAATATGCCGGAGGCAGCAGCAAGTAGATTTTTGGAGTCACTCTTCCAGGAGTCTTAATTCACTTTCAATTATTCTGACTCACTGAACCGCCCTCGGCAAGGCAGGACCATGCCCACATTACGACTGGAATGAATTAAATCGACTGAAAAAACCTCGACTGAAACATTGACATGAAATCGACTGGCCCACTCACTCATCATCACTGCGTCTGGCTCGGGTTCCACTGCTGACGCCACTGGTCCTGCTGCTGGCTCCATTGCTGCTGCGTCCATTGGTTCGACTGCCCGCCGCCGCCACCGGAGGTCCAGGACTGCTGCTGGGGCGACTGCTGGGGCTGGGCGTCCTGAGCGGACGTAGACTAGGATGCCCAGTAGTACCCTTATTCCCTTTTTGTAGTCCTAGGTTCCTTCTAAAGTTAGCCAATACCAAAAAGAGATGCCTTTTTATTCTCGGGTTACTGGGTATCCTTGTAGATTTGGGGCAAGAATGAAACCCGAATTCTTATGACGTCCGAGCCACTCGGTAAAGTGGGGGCCGAAACTCAGGGCTGACGTGCGCCCAGTAATTCGCCTCCGCGGGATCCCACTGCTGTTGCGGTGGAGGGGATGTTCGTGCCCAGGCTCCACGGCTCTCTTCAGGCATGTTTCTGCTCCAGGCCGCCGGCTGCTCCCGCACTTGGTTCAGGGATGGCTTCAAAAGTTTCGAATAGTAGTAGTCAAGGGGTGCCCTCTCAACAAAGCCCTAATAGGACTTAGGAAACAAACATCAGGATGATCCAGCCAAGTCTCTGAGCAAGTGCAGCTTTTCCTGGTGCCACGACATAATCCAGGCGCTGGTGTTGTGATGCCCGTCCTTCAACAGCGGAGGAAGACCCAATGTGTGTGTGTGTGTATATATATATGTATATGTATATATTATTGAAGTTTAAAGCTCTCCCAATGGCTAGCTGAGATTCGGCTCTCCACACCTTATCAAAGAGTTCCACCACGTAAGCCCTGCCACGCGGGCTCGGATGTAGCTGAATTGCGAGTACCGCCTTCCAGATGATGCCATAACCCCACATGGATTCTGAAAGCTAAAAAACACCATACGTTGAGAAAACGGCTTTGGGTTGCTTGATTGCCGGGCAACATTGAACGCCGTGGCATCTGCCCCGGCACGCAGCAACACATCCGCCACTGCCGGGTTCTCGGCAAACATTCGCCGGACGACCTGTCAATGTGGCAGGTCTCAAAAAGATTTGGCAAACCAGAATTTCTAGCAACCAACAGAACACCCCGGAAGCTTGCAAGAAACCTGAAAACCTCAACCCTGAAGCCGAGTCAAAAAAACAGAGCCCCTATACCCCCAAACCGTCAACCCTATCTAAACCCTAAACCCCCGTCCCTTTTTAAGGAAAGCATGTTTTCTATTCTAATTTTCTAGCACTGGTGCTGGCCTCGCATCTCGGCACCGCCCACTGCTGGCCAGGCGGTATCGCCTGCTGCTGCTTTGCTGGCGGGCCCTTGGGAGCGGTGGTTGCTGGACGAGCAGGAGGCGACTGTGCTGCCGGGGTGGTTGCTGGACGGGCAGGAGGCGACTGTGCTGCCGGGGTAGTGGTTGCTGGACGGGCAGGAGGCGACTCCGATGGTGGCTTGGGCGGACGAGCTTTGTCCTTTGCTGCAGGGCTGTCGACTGCTTTCGGCCGGGTTGCTGTCTCAGGCTGCACGGAAAACTTTTCCGCCGTATTGTGCAGGTTCGAATACGGCTGTTCCTCACGAGCAGCTTTAGCGACTGCCTTGGCAGCAGCCTCAGCAGCGACTGGCGGAGCGACTGGCTTGGCAGCAGGCTCAGCAGCGACTGGCTGGGCTGGCTTGGGAGCGACTGGCTGGTCTGGCTTGGGAGGGACTGGAGCGACTGGCTGGCCTGGCTTGGGAGGGACTGGAGCGACTGGCTGGCCTGGCTTGGGAGCGACTGGGGCAGCATTATTGAGATTCGCTGGTGGTGGCTTGCCCCCGGGGCGCAGTGTAGGCGGTGCCACATTGTCGACTGCCTTGGCCGGAGCTGCCTTCACTGGGACTCCCGCCTTCGTCGCCTTCGGCAGAGGTGCCTGGCCATCGGTCTTCGCCTTCACCCCACCAATCTTGTTCGGGGTTGCCGCTGGTGGGGAAGCGACTGCAGCATCATCGGCCGGGGCGGAAGTCGCCTCGTGTTAGGGCAATCAGATTGCCAGCACGGGTGTAAAAAACACCCTTTTGAATTAATCTAACTTCCAATGTCCAAAAGTTCAAAAAACAATCCACCCCGGACCTTCTCCTGCACGCTGCTCCTGGCCGGAGCCGCTGAGGGCACTCCCAATCCAGACTGCTGCCGGAATTTTTCAAAAGCCCCAGGCTTCTTGGCACCAGACACCGGCGCCGACTCCTGCTGGTTGCTGGCGGTTTTCCAAATGTTTCCGAATCAACCCGGGCTCAACCACCCCTAACTAACTTTGTTTTTTTTAACAAACCTTTCTTAATTTATGCTTGGACACCCGGCCCACGGCCGACTCCTGGTCTGCCGGACTCGCTGCTGCCACTGGGGGCACCGACTGCGACTCCTGTCGGATCGAACTGTCTGGCTGACTACCCATTAATATTTTATATAAACGCAACCCCGCCAATCAACACCTGCAAACCATTTATTTAATTTAACTCCGAGAACTTATGGGGTGCCAAATACTATTTCCTAATTTAATTTATGCTTGGACACCTGGCCCACGGCCGACTGATCATCTGCCGGAGTCGCTGCTGCCTTTGGCACCGGCTGCGACTCCTGTCGGATCGAACTGTCTGACTGACTACGCAATGGCATTAATATTTTATATAAACGCAACCCTGCCAATCAACACCTGCAAACCATTTATTTAATTTAACTCCGAGAACTTATGGGGTGCCAAATACTATTTCTTAATTTATGCTTGGACACCTGGTCCACGGCGGCCGACTGATCATCTGCCGGAGTCGCTGCTGCCTCTGGCACCGGCTGCGACTCCTGTCGGATCGAACTGTCTGACTGACTACGCATTAATATTATACAAACGCAACCCTCGCCAATCAACACCTGCAAACCATTTATTTAATTTAACTCCGAGAACTTATGGGGTGCGAAGTACTAGTAGGGGGGCTGCCTAGACGCCATGCCCCGAAACTGCAGTCCTGCTGCTCGCCCTCGCTGTCGTCAAACATCAGATGTGCCAAGGACGCCATGATTTCACAGGTGGGTCAAAGCTGCTTACTAGAATGTTCTGTAATGCCTGCGACTGTCTGCCGACTCCTGGCTAATTCATTCTTGACTTCGACTAACTCACAAAATTTCGACTGCGGCCCACACACAAACCAAGGTCGCTCAAACATAAGGCAACCGTGCTGGCTGCTCTGCTTAGCTTAACTCAGACATGTCGCACGTCGACTGACAACTCGGAATGCATCAAGCAAAGAGCATTTGCCCTGCATCGCTGCCTGCTTCATCAAGGAGTCGACTGCCAGAATGTTCGTCTTCAACTGGACCTGAGCCGGTGCATTCAGAAACTGTAACAGACTTAACTGATACCGACTAAAATACTGATCACCACAGCTTGTCTGTATTTAAGACGACTCCTGGACTATAAGGTTCCCCAGCGCTTGAAAACCACATTCCACACGCGGCGCCTAAAAACCAGATTCTGCACGCAGCGCCCGGAAACCAGAATCCCCACGCGGCGCCCAAGCACCACAACCCGACCGCAATACCACTACATATGTTTAGTTTGGAAATAACTTGAGACACATGCAGATGCAGCTGAGAGCAAGCCTAGCCGACTTTGAGCATCTTGGCGACTGCCTTGGAACGGCGCATGAAGGGGGATGATCAATCATCGCATCACATGCCGCATGTTTCTGTGCGTAGTGTGAAAAGAGGCTTGAGTATTGAACAACGGATCCTTGTTGGTTTCTTTGTGATTTAAAGTATCCTACTGTAAGAGCCATAC